GCAGCATGAGGTCAGCTCACCAACACTGTAGGTGTGCAGGCTTATGCTGATGACAAGAGCCACGGACCTCACCATGTGTCTGAAAACGGCCATGTTGCCACTTAAATGCTAAACCTTTAATGGTGTATTAATAGATGGTTATTAAGTAGCAAATTAGGAGCTTAAATCTACCTAAATCAGCTGTGTACTGTCTGTATCTCACAGTGACAAATTCACCAAATCTGTATCTTGTCTTCTCTGGAACGATGTTAAATATTAGCATATCGCAGTTCTCTGGTGCGATTCCAGCAGCTATGGTGAGGCCACTGTTGCTCCTGAATCTCCACTTTCATTTGCCCTCACTGGTGTCACTGTCGTGGTCACTGTCACTGCCGCTGTCAGTATCACTGTCACTGGCAGCTAAGTTTGCCTAGGGCTTCCTTTTGTTCCTGGTTGATTGCAAAGTCAGTCATTATTCTCTGGGTGAGGCCCTCACAAATAGGTAAGCTGAAGGCACTTGCCAGCTCGACTACCTCAATGGCCTGGGAGACACCTCAATGGCTGTTAGACACTCTTGCACTGCCCATAAACTCATTCAGCAACTCATTTCTAGGGATCTTGTTATGCTTCCTAAAAAGCCCCAACATTTTCCAGGCTTCCCGGATTCTCCCAGCCCTTAAAAAGAGGACAGCTGCTGGGCGCGGTGGCTCAAGCCTGTAATCCCAGCACTTTGGGAGGCCAAGGCGGGTGGATCACCTGAGGTCAGGAGCTTGAGACAGCCTGGCCAACATGGCGAAACCCTGTCTCTACTAAAAAGACAAAAATGAGCCAGCATAGTGGTGGATGCCTGTAATCCCAGTTACTCAGGAAGCTGAGGCAGGAGAATTGCTTAAACCCGGGAGGCGGAGGTTGCAGTGAGCAGGGACCACGCCATTGCACTCCAGCCTGGGCGACAAGAGTGAAACTCTGTCTCAAAAAAAAAAAAAAAAAAAAAAAGAAAAGAAAGAAAGAAAGAAAAAAAGGACAGCTATACAGTTGAGAGAGATAGATGGTCAATTCAGAGCAGTGTGTCTGACAGGCTGGCTTTCATACGTAGATTTGATAGCAGCAGCACAGTCAGCAAATGCCACCTGAAGCTCTGGTGGGTGCTTATCCATCGCCATGAGTGTCAGGATCTCTTCTCTCAGGTCGTTGCAGGAAGTGTGACCATATTCTTTACTATCTTTCCAAGTTTGAGGAATCACTTCCAGCCGATTGGCCACAGCCCATACTTGGAGATCTATCAAAGTTTGGGAGTGGGGGAAGAAGGCCGAAGGTATCAGGTCCTCATACCACTTCAAAGGTGACATCAATTTATTCCATTAGGCAAATCAAATTGAAGAACTTGGAATCATAGAAATTACGCCGATTATCAGGTCCAATGAATTTTCGGTTGTCTCCAGTATTTAAAAGGCCATGTAGCTGGGTGCGGTGGCTCACACCTGTAATCCCAGCACTTTGTGAGGCCGAGACGGGTGGATCATGAGGTCAGGAGATCAAGACCATCTTGGCTATCACTGTGAAACCCTGTCTCTACTAAAAATACAAAAAAATTAGCCGGGCGTGGTGGTGGGCACCTGTAGTCCCAGCTACTTGGGAGGCTGAGGCAGGGGAATGGTGTGAACCTGGGAGGCAGACCTTGCAGTGAGCCGAGATCACGCCACTGCACTCCAGCCTGGGCGACAGAGCGAGACTCCATCTCAAAAAAAAAAACAAAAACAAAAAAACCATGTATTTGGCAGACAAGTTCTAGATCTTTGAGAGATGATGAGGATACTCTCATGGCTTACTGAAAAAACATCATCATCCAGGTCCTTAGGAGAAAATCTCTTTCCTATTAATTCATTCATTATATCATAGACGATGAAGGATGATCCATTTGAAGGGCTTCTAGGCTTATAAAACAGCTGAATAAAATGAGTGTTTTTTTTCAAATGAGTGGTTTTTTTCATCCATCCCAGTTCTCCAGGAGACACCAGCAGGTGTCCTATAATTCAAATCTGATGCTATCAACTTGAAGCGTCAGATCCCGCAGGTTGAGGGCTAAGTACCGTAAAATTGCCCTTCACTTCAGATGCCAATCATAATAACCAGGTTGTGGCCTGTGCTTTTAACCAACTACATTAGAATTGGTGTTCCCACAACCACCTAGAACTCATTTCTAGAATGGCTCATAGAACTCAGGGAAAACTTTGCTTATGTTTACTGTTTTGTAATAAAAGATATCACAAAGGATACAAACAAACAGCCAGATAAAAAAGATACATGGGGCAAGATATGTGAGAAGAGGTGTGGAGCTTCCATGCCCTCTCCAGGCACATCTAATGTGTTCAGCAATCTGGAAAGCTAAAATCTTGTTCTCCAAGAGTTTTTATAGAGCTTCATGTCGAGCCACCCCATCCCTTCCCCTTCACAGAGGTTGGTGAGTGGGGCAAAAGTTCCAACTCTCTAATCTTTCTGGTGACCAGCTTCATCCTGAGTCTGTCTAGGGGCTCCACCCTAAGCCATCTCATTGGTATAAACTGAGATGTGATCAAAAAGTCATTAAAAATAACGAAAGACATTTCAACACACAGGAAATTCCAAGGGTTTTAGGAGCTCTGTGATAGAAATCAGAAAGTCAAGCCTACTCAAGTTTGGAGAGGCTAACACTGGTTAGTGTGAGCACCAATACAATGAGAGAAATAGATTATAATGCAGCTGATAAAAATCCTCCAGTCCATGTGGCTTCTAAAATAATTAACTTAAAAAGGATGGGATGGGCTGGGCGCAGTGGCTCACACCTATAATCTCAACACTTTGGGAGGCTGAGGCGGGTGGATAACCTGAGGTCAGGAGTTTGAGACCAGCCTGGCCAACAAAATGAAACCCCATCTCTACTAAAACAACAACAACAAAACAAAAACCAAAAAACAAAATTAGTTGGGTGTGGTGGCATACGACCATAGTCCCAGCTACCTGGGAGGCTGAGGCAGGAGAACCACTTGAACTTGGGAGGTGGAGGTTGCAGTGAGCCGAGATCGCGCCACTGCACTCCAGCCTGGAAGACAAAAGTGAGACTCTTTCTCAAAAAAAAAAAAAAAAAAAAGAAACAAAGAAAAAGAAAAAAGAAAAAAAAAGAAGAAAAAGGATGGTTGGGTAAAGTTCTTTACAGGAGTGTCAACTTACAAGTATAAAATGTAAAGAAGTAATAGAAATAGAATCCCCACAAGCAGTGATCACAGATTCAAGGAATAATTGTCAATGGAGGCTAAAACTAGAGGGTGAAGTGGGGGGACTTAATATTATTCAGACATTGCAAGGAATTGCCCCACAAAGTACTTATTAATTACAAAGAAGAAAGAGTGGAGAGATCTAGTAGACACCATCTTAACCAAGTAGTCAAAGTTCAAATCCCCCAAATGGACAAAGTGTATACTTAGGGGCCACCTCATAGGACATAACATCATTGGCAATTCTGGGGCAAAATAAATGTGTTCACTGAATTATTGTTTGAACTTTGGAAAAGGTATACATTTTTCACAATAAATAACTTGTCCTCCAAATCTTCAATGTACTGAATACCTGATATTGGGCAAATTACATGTCTTCTTGGGCCTCAGTTTCCTCACATTAAAAATACGGAGATAATATTATTACTTGCCCGCTCAATTGTAAGGTTTACCAAAAGAAAATACATGGTTAATAACAACTCAGGGCTCAGTAAATGTTTGCTATTTGGAATAAACTGATGGGAGGCTACACGCAATCTCTACTTACCGTTTAGCATGAAGATACTAAAAAAAAAAATTGTTTTAATGTTAATACTGGTCAGCTGTGCCTGAAATTTTCTTTTTTTTCTTTTTTTTTTTTTTTTTTTTTTTGAGACGGAGTCTTGCTCTGTCGCCCAGGCTGGAGTGGCAGTGGCGCGATCTCGGCTCACTGCAAACCTCCACCTCCAGAATTGCTTTAATCTCAGTCTCCTGAATATCTGGGACTACAGACGCCCGCCATCAAGCCCGGCTAATTTTTGTATTTTTAGTAGAGACGGGGTTTCACCATGCTGGCCAGGCTGCTCTCGAACTCCTGACCTCAGGTGATCTGCTCAGCTTGGCCTCTGAAAGTGCCGGGATTACAGGCGTGAGCCACCGCGCCCGGCCTGTGCCTGAATTTCAAAGAGAGGAGGGTAAAATGAGGCATGCCCCTTCTCCTTCCTATCATGGCCGAACTAGTGTTTCAGGTTAACTTTGCCATGCTCTTAGCTGAGAGGAGGGGTCCGTTCAGTTGGCCGGGAGCTTAGAATGCGATTTTTGGTTCTAGGGAGAGATGCAGAGTTAGGACAACAGGAGAGAAGCGAACCCGGACAGCAACGCCTACCTGACATCCACCGCTCTGGCAGGGCGACCACGCGGCCGGGGCCCGCCCGACCGCAGGTCTCGGGCCGCGCAGCGCTAGCAGTCGCGGGAGGGGGACCCAAACGTCAGTGGTCCCCAGAATCAGGACCCTACCTTGCTCCAGCATCTCGCCAGCCCTCCCTGCAGTCACTGAGCGCAGCGGAGAAGAACAGCCCGGCGCGCCCCGCCCCCTCGCGCCCCGCCCCCGCCCGGGGACGCATTTCCCTGGCCTGCACCCAAGCCGGTAAAAGGGCAGACGTGGCAGCTCAAGGCACCTGCGCCCAGCAGGTTGCAGGCCCCACTCTCCCAGGGAGACCAACATACTTGCGGAACCGCACAGAGAGGTGAGGCTGAAAAGAGGTACCGGTGATGATACCCGGGCTTTTGAGGGCACGGAATTGAGAACTGGAGTGAAACATACAAATAAAAGGAAATAAAAGCTCATCAAGGTTTCTTTGTGTTGCTGACGGTGTAGCACAGGTCAGATACTCGCCCTGCAGAAAGGTCAGGTCAGGAATTTAGGATGCAGGATGACTTCTGATTATTCCCCAGAGGCACCACCTGTGCACTGTTGGCCTCCCTTCTCCACGACTTCACCTGCATTTTGATGTACAATTTTAAAGCTTCTCAGTATGGAATTGGAAATGGAATCCTGTGTCTTTTGGGAAACATTTACTAAAAGGCATCACATCTTGTTCTCCGTTTTCAGGAAGTTCACTCCTCCCTGTCAGTACTTTGACTAGACAATTAAAATAAACATAGATCCAATTTAGAAGAATGCTATAAAGATACAAAAACACATAAAAACAAAGCATTATTTTAAAATACTGAATCAAGAAAACACTTGCAGTACATAGGACAAATACAGCATAATATTTAAGTCTCAAAGAAATATTCTACCTAAGAAAGAAGCAAAGAATCTGAAAGCTAAGAAAACAAAAATAAAATATGGCAAATACATTTGATTAAAGGTGTTCAAACACGCTAGTACTCAAATTAAAAATAAAACAATGAGATATTATTTCCAGCTCTAAAATTTATAATGATTGAAAATTTAATGGCTGGGCATGGTGGCTCATGCATTTACTCTCAAAGCACTTTTGGAGCCCTAGCGGGTAGGATCGCTTGAGCCCAGGAGTTGGAGGCTGCAGTGAGCCATGGTTGCACCACTGCATTCCAGCCTGGGTGACAGAGTAAGACCCTCTCAAAACAAATAAATAAATAAACAAATACATACAATTTAAAAAAGAAAGAAAAGCATTTTAAATAACGAAACTGAAACAGGTCAGGGTCACTGGTGTCATTGTCTAAGGTGTTATCTAAGCTCGTGGTCTCATGACCAAGAAAATTAAGCAGTATGGACACGAACGGTGAGGTTGGAGCAAAAATAGAAGCAGAGAGTAAAAGGGCGATTGCCAGGGGCTTGGGTGAAGGGGAAATGGGGAAATGTCGGTCAAGAGGTACAGATTTTCAGTTTTGCAAGATAAATTTTTGGGGATTTAACGTACATAGTGACATTATTTGACATATGTACATAGTGACATGTGACATAGTTAACAAACCAGAAAAAAATTTTAAATGGGATGTTCAGAAACGAAAAAACAATACTACCTGACATTTGCTAAGTTTTTTGTTTTTTGTTTTTTGTTTTTTTTTTTGAAACGGAGTCTCGCTCTGTTGCTCAGGCTGGAGTGCAGTGGCATGATCTCGGCTCACTGCAAGCTCCAACTCCTGGGTTCACACCATTCTCCTGCCTCAGCCTCCCGAGTAGCTAGGACTACAGGCACCCACCACCACGCCCGGCTAATTTTTTTGTATTTTTAGTAGAGATGGGGTTTCGCCACGTTGGTCAGGCTGGTCTCAATCTCCTGACCTCGTGATCCACCCACCTCGGCCTCCCAAAGTGCTGGGATTACAGGCGTGAGCCACTGTGCCCGGCTGCTAAGAGGACAGATTTTTATTTTTTGCTACAAGGTTAGATCTTTTTTTTTTTTTTTTTTTTTTTTT